ACCTTGTGCATTGTGATAATCAGGGAGGTGTAATTAGTTCCCCCGGCAACCCAACGGCCCTCTCTTGCACCAGGAAACCATTTGAGCTATAGTTGCTCTCAGTTCCCCTTTTCCATAGGCTAATCTTCCTCTCTTGCCACTTGGCTCATATGTACAGGAAGGGGTGTAATTTTAATTACTTTCCTGTGAAGTTCCTGTGGATTGAGGGCAGCTCATTAAATATTTGAGTGCCATCCTAAATCCACGATGCATGCGTGTGCCATGCAGCCTTCTTTCATTTAGAACCCTGGGAGACCATTGGTGGAGAGCCTTGTTGTTCATCAAACACTTCCATGCATGTGTGAACTATGGCTCCAGAACACTCAGCACTCAGCCAGATCAAACCCAGATCTTCACCAAGACCCTGAAAGATCCTTCTCCTCCCTAAGGGCTATCTCCCTGCTAAACTGTGTCTTCCGACCACCGCCAACTTCTGCACTAGACTGTGCACGTGAGGAGTAGGGAATCCAGCAGACTGAGTGTTGTGGATAATGCAGGTGGCAGTTTGTGCCTGGCATGTTGGACATGAAAGAAGAGCACCATCATTGTAATTTGTCACGTTGACTGCTGGAGTAGCTGTGAAAAGAAAGAAACCTGCCTGTTCAGTGCCACTTTCATAAGCTCCAAATTCCTCCAGACTTAAAGAAGAAAAAATGTTTACCTTCTCATGCTGCTATGGGAGATATTGCTTCCAGTAACAGCTCCAAAAACTCAGAAGCTACATGGATCAGTTGGGAAGAGATGGCATCATCCCACTTCACCTCCATCTGACAATGATGGTGCACCAAGACAGCTTAAAGGCTTTTAAGACACATCTGGATTTTGTTCTTCTGATGTAAAGGGAAACATGATCCTTCCTATCAAGTGAAACTGCTGTCCCGTTCTTTATCAGCTGTCCGAAACTGTGCAAACACACACACACCTTCATCCTATAACCCTGCTGCTATTCTGTGGTTACACACAATAAAGCTTTCACTCCCTTCAATCCTCACAAATAACTTCTTGGAAGATAAGCTCCTGCTTAACTGACTATACACATAGCAGGAAATCTGGAACTCTTCTCTTTTCAGACTTGCAGGCCTGATCCTGATCCTGTTAAAGGCATTTGGCAAAGTTATTGAACGAAATTGACTTTATTGAGTGTAGAGTCAGGCTCTGTAAGTCCCGGCTGTCTCACAAGCCAGGGTGCATCTAGAAATCCCCAACATTGCTTAGGCCTGGTCTACACTAAAAAAATTAGATTGACTTAGCTACAGCACTCAGGGTTGGGAAAATTTTGTGCACTGCTCACCGTAGTTAGCTTGACCTGACCCCTGATGTAGACACAGCTAGTTCAATGGAAGAATTCTTCTGTCGAACTTGCTACCGCCTCTCAGAGAGGGGGATTAATTACATTGATGGAAAACCCCTTCTGTAAATGTAGGAATCATCTACACTACAGCACTGCAGCTGTGCCACCAGAGGTGTGCGCAAGGGGGGGCAAGCAGGGGCACAGCCCCCCCAGTAATCATCAGGGGCACAAAACTCCTCCAGCCTTGGAGCCGCAGTGGTGGGGGACGTGGGAGAGCGAGCGCCTCCTGGCCCCGGGGAAGGAAGAGTGAGCACCTGCTGGGCCATGGCAGGAGTGGGAAAGGAAGAGTGAGCTCCTCCTGGGGCCAGGACAGGGGAGGGCAGAGAATGTGCCCTCGCAAAAGGAGCCAAAGTTAAATTTCTGCACATGCCCCTGTGTGCCAATATCGCAACTGTAGTGTATATAGACCTTAAGAGTGTCACTTTGCCCAGGTCTACACTACACACTTACTGTGCTATAACTATGTCGCTCAGGGGTGTAGAGTTTTACCAACCTTAACCCCCCATGTAGACAGCACTAAGTCACTCGGGGGGCTTCTCCCACTGACATAGCTACCGCCTCTCGCTCAGGTGGAGTTATTAAGCCAACAGGAGAGATCTCTCCTGACAGTGTCTGGTGCAGCTGCGCCAATGTGAGTTTGTAGTGTAGACCTGCCCCTTGTGTAGCTTTTGGAACAACATAAGGGAATCCAGATAGGAGGATACTGAGGAGGCTGAAATCTTGTGCTGTAGCCAGGTAGAATGGGGATTTGTTCTTGCTCTGTAAAAAATAAAATTAAAACTCAGAAAACACTTACACATGGTGAGAGGTATGAGAGTGTGGTGTGTACATTTCAAAGCTACTCATTCTTCTTCACCCATCCCACCCTGCTCCAAACACAGCATGCAAATACACCCCTTTCTGGCCTTTGTCTTTCTTGCTAACTTAAATAAAAAATAACATATACCTCAACCTAAGCTTCCTCCTGGGCTTGGCTGGTTCTGGGGCGATCCCAGCAATCCTCACCCTTTTGTTCTCTGCATCACAGAGATGGCTTCAAACTCTTTTGGCTTGGAACTACAGTAATAGGATTCACCTGGTCTGGCAGCCAGGCTGAGTCAGCAGAATAGTTTTGCATCTCTGACATGGTGCTACCCACAAGAGCTATAACCCAAGGATCAGGTTGAACAGATATCCAGTATAATATTTCCACCCCTATATATGTGAATGTGCATGTGGGAATGAGAATTATGTGAACTAGTAGGTGGCCAGAGTGAGAGAAGGCATAATGAGTGCGGTTCCGCAGGGGTCTTCTGTTTTGGGACCGGCTCTGTTCAATATCTTCATTAACGACTTAGATATTGGCATAGAAAGTACGCTTATTAAGTTTGCTTATGATACCAAACTGGGAGGGATTGCAACTGCTTTGGAGGACAGGGTCATAATTCAAAATGATCTGGACAAATTGGAGAAATGGTCTGAGTTAAACAGGATGAAGTTTAACAAAGACAAATGCAAAGTGCTCCACTTAGGAACAAAAAATCAGTTTCACACATACAGAATGGGAAGAGACTGTCTAGGAAGGAGTACGGCAGAAAGGGATCTAGGGGTTATAGTGGACCACAAGCTAAATATGAGTCAACAGTGTGATGCTGTTGCAAAAAAAGCAAACATGATTCTGGGATGTATTAACAGGTGTGTTGTAAGCAAGACACGAGAAGTCATTCTTCCGCTCTACTCTGCTCTGGTTAGGCCTCAGCTGGAGTATTGCGTCCAGTTCTGGGCACCGCATTTCAAGAAAGATGTGGCGAAATTGGAAAGGGTCCAGAGAAGAGCAACAGAATGATTAAAGGTCTTGAGAACATGACCTATGAAGGAAGGCTGAAAGAATTGGGTTTGTTTAGTTTGGAAAAGAGAAGATTGAGAGGGGACATGATAGCAGTTTTCAGGTATCTAAAAGGGTGTCATAAGGAGGAGGGAGAAAACTTGTTCACCTTAGCCTCTAAGGATAGAACAAGAAGCAATGGGCTTAAACTGCAGCAAGGGAGGTCTAGGTTGGACATTAGGAAAAAGCTCCTAACTGTCAGGGTGGTTAAACACTGGAATAAATTGCCTAGGGAGGTTGTGGAATCTCCATCTCTGGAGATATTTAAGAGTAGGTTAGATAAATGTCTATCAGGGATGGTCTAGACAGTATTTGGTCCTGCCATGCGGGCAGGGGACTGGACTCGATGACCTCTCGAGGTCCCTTCCAGTCCTAGAATCTATGAATCTATGAATAAGTCTTCCAAAAACCACCCTCCCCTGACTCACCGGGCCCCTAAAAGGCTCTCAGGCCCTCTCTGCCACCCAATCACCACCCTGTATTTCAGATGGCACACCTTGGACACGGTGCCATACACTCTAAATACTCAAAATATTTTTTTCAGGAACACAGGTTGTTACAAGAAGGAGGGAGAAAAATTATTCTCCTTAACCTCTGAGGATCGGACAAGGAGCAATGGGCTTAAATTGCAGCAAGGGTGAGTTAGGTTGCAGCAAGGACGAGTTAGGTTGGAAAAACTTCCTGTTAGGGTGGTTAAGCACTAGAATAAATTGCCTAGGGAGGTTGTGGAATCTCCATCATTGGAGGTTTGTAAGAACAGGTTAGACAAACACCTGTCAGGGATGGTCTTTCTAGGTAATACTAGTCCTGTCTTGAGTGCTGGGGATTGGACCGGATGACCTATTGAGGTCCCCTCCAGTCCTACATTTCTCTGATCCTCTGAATGAGGGGAAACAGCCACTGAAAATCCAGAGGAAAAGCTACAGCAAGGCCTAGGAGGCAGGGAGGGACAGAAGGAAGCAGGGGAAGAGCACAGGGCGGGAGACAGAGGAAAGGAGGAAGCCAAGGACCAGGGGCTAGGAGGTTTAGGGCTACTAATCCAGTCCAAGAAGAACAAAATGGGACAGGCTGGAATGGAGGGGATGAGGGCCACACTCCTCTGGCCAGTGCCTGCTCCCCTTCATGACAGCAGGGCCAACTTTCAGCAAACCTGGCTGCTGACTGTGGGTGCCCAACTAGAGAGGCATGGGTGAAATCCTGGCCCCATGGAAATCAATGGCAAAACGCTCCTTGACCTCAGCAGGGCTAAGGCTTGACGCCTGGAGTCAGGTTCTCCCAAGGGCTGAGCCCTCCCTGCTGCCACTAAAGTGTGTGTGTGGGGGGGGCGCTGGGTGCTCAGCACACAGGAAAATCACCCCCCCCCCCAAGACACGAGGCTCTCCCGCTGGAAGTGGTGGATGGGACCCTGAGCACCCGGCTCCCTAGGGCAGCCACAGGCTGCTGGCGAGCGGCGGCAGGGCCTTGCCACTCCCCATCCTCACGCCCCCGGCAGGTGCGGGAGAGGACAGCTCCCTTCCTGTCTCAAACCTCGCCGCGCCGCGGGAGGCTGCTTCCCCGCCCGGGAGGAGGGAGAGCCTGGCGCTGCAGCGGAGCCCGTGGAAAACCGCTGAGCCAGAGAAAGGGACACAGAGCACAGCCCGCTGTTCCCTCCCGCCGCCCGGGCTCCGCGAGCTGCCTCGGGGTCCGCACAGCCCCGGTCCCGATCTCGGGAGAGCGCGAGACTGGTTCTGCTCCGGGCTCGCCACCATGCAGGTAAGCCGGAGAAACCGCTCGGCGCCTGTTGTTCAAAGTCTCTGGACCTTGTAAAGTCCGATTCGATTCTCAATCCACCTTCAGAACCGCCCCCCGAGCAACGCGATCCGCTCTGGGAACGCATCCCGCAAACGGAGTTCCCCGTCCCGGCGCGTGGCGCGGTTCGCCCTGCGAAACTGACTCAGGCAAGTCACTCTGTTTCATGGTAGTTTCACCGTTTCCCAGGGCATCTGCCCGGAGCTGTTGGGAGATCTAGCTCCCCAGCGGTGCCGAGCAGTTTTGCTTACAGGCTCCGCTTATGTTCAAATGATGTGGACTTCCGTTTGCTGGGGGGGGGGAATCGAAGAAAGAAAGGAGGGATGGGAAGCAAGCATTAGCCTCTAGAGAAATACATTTTATTGAAACTTGGGCGCAGATCTTCAGGGCAGGGCTCTGCTGACTTCTGTGGAGAGTCACCCATTTACATCAGCTGAGGATCTGGCCCTTGAGCTTTTATGAACCTGCTGAAACACACTAAGGTGAGGGGGAACGGTTCACTTAGCTAAAAGCAGAAGTTAGATGTTTTGTTTCTGAAGAAAGAAAGAAAGATCAGGCATTTTCCTTAATCCAAAAAGACTTTTGGAAGCTCCCAAGAAGACGAATGAATGGGAAATATACAAATGTATTATGTGCCAATTCAGTTGAAGTTTCCTCGGAGTTTGGAATTTCTTGAGGCTGAGTGGAGGTGTGGTGATAAGCTGTTTGTTGCAAATGATTCTTAAAGATCAGAGACATTAATTTTCATTGTGACACTCAGGTACCAAAACAGCTGTAAACCATCCTGAATGTAAAGAAAAAAAATAAATGGGACCTAATAATCTATAGACTTCACTCACGTGAATAGTCCTTATCAATGTAGTGTGAGCAATCCCATGGGCATACACACAGGAGCTCTGTGGCCTATAGCAAGGTGATGGAGCCTGCTGAGCATCCTCTGAAGGCCAGTGGTAGATGTGCTAGAGATAATGTAGATGTAGTACATCCTAGCCCATGTGTGAGGGTTCAGCCTTGGAGGAGAATGATATTTCAGGATTCTGCAGATGGGGCTTGTGCAGGTTAAAGCTAACAGTGAGGTAGGGGGATTACATATTTCCTCACCTTCTCCTAGGTGGTGGAGCTGATTAGCTGCTCTTCCAATATGGGTAGGGCCTTACCAAATTTAGGGTTAATTTTGGTCAATTTCAGTCATGGGATTTTAAAAATAGTAAATTTCATGATTTCAGCTATTTAAATCTGAAATATCACAGTGTTGTAATGGTAGGGGTCCTGACCCAAAAAGGAGTTGTGTGTGGGGTTTTTTTGTTTGTTTGTTTGTTTGTTTTGCAGTACTGCTACTCTTACTTCTGTGCTGCTGCTGGCGGAGGTGCTGCCTTCAGAGCTGGGCAGCCGGAGAGCAGCAGCTGTTGGCCGGGAGCCCAGCTCTGAAGGCAGAGCTGCCGCCAGCAGCAGTGCAGAAGTAAGGATGGCATGGTATGGTATTGCCACCCATGCTTCTGCGCTGCTCTTGATGGGGCGCTGCCTTCAGAGCTGCGCGCCCAGCCAACAGTCACCACTCTCCGGCTGCCCAGCTCTGAAGGCAGCACAGAAGTAAGGGTGGCAATACTGTGACCCCCCTAAAATAATCTTGTGATGCCCCTGCAACTCCCCAGGACCCCCAGTTTGAGAAACGCTGGTCTCCCCTGTGAAATCTGTATAGTGTATGGTAAAAGCACACAAAAGGCCAGATTTCACGGGAGGAGACCAGATTTCACGGTCCGTGACACATTTTTTCATGGCTGTGAATTTGTTAGGGCCCTAAATATGGGGCAGGGAAGAGACATGACAGCTTCTGTTAAAGGCAAGAATTAAGGCTGACATTTTACACAGATCATAGCCAATTCAGAGTTATGATTGCTACAGCCTCCTCGACTGCACATAGGGCCAAATCCTTCGTCCCTCTCTGGCTGCCTTGCGCTGTTCCAGCTGCACAAAGCACCCCTAGACTTAGTTTAACCAACTCCTTGAGGATTCCCCTGTGCAAAGAGTATACCTGGTGGTGTGGTAGCTTGTCCTGGTTCTGGTCCCCTAGTGTAGGAGGCGGTGTCCAAGGAAAGGATTACAATGGCCCCTTAGCCAACCAGGGCAAGCTAGAGCAACTTGAAGGCTGCTCTGACTTGTGCTGGAGATCCAGGCTGGTGCAGGACAGCCCCCTTTGTATTTGCCTTGGTCTTATGCTAAGCACAACTTGGCTGGGATGGGAGGAGCTGGGAAGAAGTTTCTCCTACTAATCAGCCAGTTCCAGGAAGGATCAGGTACAGTATTAGTGAATTGTTTTCAGCAATCTGGGATTCATTGATTTGTGAATACATTTTTGTCATTACTCAACCAGCTCTGCTGGATATGGAGTTATCTGTAATGCCTATTGAATATGCATATGTGCAATGTGAGCAAATTATTGTTGCTGTGGAAACCCTAATGAACACTCCCCATACAGCAACATGCAGAAAATGTGTGTTAAATGGAGGAGGGCCTGGATAGATTTGGGGAGGGCAAGATCTGTCAAAGGGAGGATTGTTGGGTCCTCTCCACTCTGGAGGGGGCGTGTTGGAGACAAGGCACACTGCACCAGCCATTAGGGTTGGAGCTGTGGAACAGCTCCGGCCCCAAGGGCAAGCATTCCTCCCACAGCCCTCCATATCTGGCCATTCCCAGCCCATCTATTCCGGTTGGCAATGCGGCTGGAGTTAGCCCAATAGGGAACATAGTATTTTATTTGCTATTTGTTGATTATTTCTAGACTGACTAACTTTAGCAGGAAACTGATGCCTGGGGTATTTCCCACTCTAAGATGCCTTTAAGGCCTGGGAAACATGGGCCTGCCCTAACCGGGAGTGTAAATGACCTGGAGAAGTTCTCTGGTGTAGTTCTGTTACTGTAAAACTGTTCTCTGAGCCATGGGATGCCACGATTCAGGTCTGACTCCAGAAAGCAGATGCACAGCAGCTGATTAGGGTGGTGCTAGCAGGAACCAGGGGTGTGGGGATGGATTAGGTTATTCCACTGAACTAGCCTTCAGGCAGCTCGGGGGAGGGCCGGTGGAAGAAAGGCAGCCAGAAGGAGGGTGGGGAAAGAGGGAATCAGAGAGGGAAGCCTGAGCAAAGGAAGTGAGACAGAGGGGCAACTACACTAGCCTTTTTCCACTTAACATTGCTCACCATTCCTGTCCCTGCTAGAGCTGCACAAGTGGCAGAAATGTAGAGCACCACTGTAGACAGGCCACAGCTGTTTTCTATTATCTAACCCTTCTCAGAGCATATCTAGACACATGGTGGCCAGCACACCTGTAGCGACCAGCCCCTCATCTCTGCACCCACTGGTGCAGCTGAAATGCTGGTCCCCACAGTGGGGTATCTTAGCAGAATATGTCTCACAGAGATAAGGCTGAGAGGAAGGGCCTGGGAGGGAACCAGAGCGGGTGAGCCTTAGAGAGGCAGCAGGCCAGATGCATCAGGGCACCCTCAGATGGTGTGAAGACACTGTAGTGCTCCTATGCCACCCTTCTCCCTTGTTTGGCGCAAGGGTTGTGGCTGAAGAGGCACGTTGCTAGGGCTCCTGCATGCCCTGGCAATCCCAATGGCCATTGGCAACCAGTGCAAGCTGGAGCAGCCTTCAGCATGGGAACCAGACTGGTGCCGAGCAGCCTGAGGATCAGGGCTTAAAGCCCCTCGCACCCCTCCCCTGTATTTTCTAGGGGTTAAAGCTGAGGTTTGGATGCCAGCTACTCCTGAGTTCTGTTCCCAGCTGTGCCACTAATTCACTGTGTGGCCTAAGGGAGGGTTGGAGTGGTAATTTCCGGGCTTCAAGAGCTCCCTGCCAGCACTGTGGGAAGGCAGGAGGAGGTGGGGGGAGGGAGGTCTGGGCTTTGAAGCCAGTAAATACAGGGGCCCACGCACATGTAGTCAAAGTCAGGTAGTGCCCTCTTGTCCACTCCCCAAACACCAGAGCATCAGCTGTGTTACAGGGCACACAGCCTCCGTTGGCATGGTGGGCAGACGAGTTCTTCTGGTTCTAGCACACGGGCTGAGTGCTGCTTATGCAAGCAAGTTGTGACGTAAGATTCCAGTTCCAATCACTGAGTGGAGGACCAGGAAGTTAGAGAACATTAACAAGGAAGAAACTGAAAGTTTCATGCAGAATAAAGGGAGGAACTCCAATGCTTGTATTGCTGAAACCTCCCTCACATTCATCTGAGCAGTGTGGTTTCAGTTTTAAATGGTTCTGTAATCCCAGGTCACGCATCCCAGGTCATTCATTGGTAACTTGAGTTGTTTGCACACGGATCCCGACTGAGAGTCACAAATCTGCTGGCCAATATTCATCGCTAGAGCACATATACAGATCGGTAATTAGTCCAGCAGAAGCTCCTGAATCTGAGTCTCGTAAATTTGCTGGATGTGTCACAAGCCATCCCAGTTTAACGATTGCGGACAGTGATGGCGAGCAACTGTCTATGACTGATGCTCTCCACTGCTGAATCTGCAGCCGTTGCTATTGGACCAGCACTTCCATTCCGAATGGCTCCCTCAGCCCTTCAAGCCTTTGTTTCTGGCTGCTCTTTCATTGCCTCAACAAACCTGATGTTGTGACAAATGAGCAACTCAGCATAAACAAGAGATGTAAGCAGGAGCCAGGGGCTGCTCCACTGACGTCAATGGAGTTGCGCTTGCTCACACAACGTCTGGGTTTGGTCCCCAGATTTTTGTGGAAGCATTTCTGAAAGTATCAGTAGTTCATGGAAGGGGTAAATTCTTCTCCTTTACATTGGTGTGATCACATGGAGGCCAATGGGATCGCAGTGGTGCAAGTGAGAGCAGAATTAGACCCGCAGTGTCATACATAACTGTAAGGCCCATCGGAAAGAGCGTCAGGCCTCTGAGATGGGATTTTGGTTCAGACCTAAGTCCTGACCTTTCTGGGGGAGGTTCTGAATCCAGATCTGAATTTCACAAGTGGCTCCTGTCTTTATACACACTGGAACCAAAACCCTAGATCTAAACCCTGCTGAACCTTGGAGCATTTGAAATGCAGATTGCAATTTTGTCATTTGAGCCCCTTGCTAGTTTTAAGAGCCCCTTAGCCATACCCCTATCAAACAAGCTATGGTTTGCTGCAGAGATAGTATGTGTGCAGTAAAGAACCCCATACCACAGAGCTGTAAAAAACTGGCCATGCGTTATGTACTGAACATGTAGCCAGTCTAGGTTGATCTGCTCCTCTTCTATTTCCTGCACACTTCCAGAAGTGACACTGCTTTCGAGGAGATTGAGTATAAATCAAATGCACTTTGTCTTTGAAGGCATGAAGGTGATGGATTTAGTTTACCTTTGAATGGATTCATCCCCGGCTATCCCTAATTAGGGCTTTGAATGGTGACACCCAAGTATACCTGAATCATTCTGCAGAGGACTCTGAGCAAATACCTGTTTTTCTGCCAAGCATAATGTTAGTGCTGTCACTCGTCAATACTTCACAGTGTCTTTCAGAGTGTGGAGATACTCACGTGGACGCTGAAGCATGGGAGTCGCTAGGCAATCTGCCTGTTCTGCTCGATCTCTGGATAGTGCAGCTACCCCTGTTTGTCACTTTCACAATTTAAAATAAACATCAAAGACTTTCTTGCTGCTCAGGGATGTGGACTCACCAGTGAGAAGAGAGCATTAACTGCCACAGTGCTCAGGAGTTTGTTTGCAGATTTCCTTCTGCACATCACGGACAATGCGTCAAATCACTTCTTTAGCCCTGCATCTTGAAGGCAGACCAATCCCAGTCATATCCTGCTGTAAATAAGCACAGATCCATGAAGCTTTGCCAATTTACAGTACCTGAGGATTTGGCCTCGATTCTTACCACCACTCCTATTTTTCCCATAAGCCAAAAGGATCCATAAGATTTGCTTAAATAACCAGACGTTAGATAAATCTGGTATATGGAGGGCAAAATTCTCCTCTCAGATCTATGTGGCAGTACTCAGCCTGGGCGTGCTGCTCTCCGTATGGGGCGGATCCAAAGCCCATTGGAGGCAATGAGACTCTTTCCATTAACTTTCATGGGTTTTGACCCAGGCTGCACATATCACTGAGAGGTCCACTTTGAATTTCTTCTCTCCCCATACCGCAGCCAGCGGTAGATGCGCATGTCAGGAGCCCAGCATGCAGAAGCCCAGCAAATCTGAGAGGAGAATTTTGCCCCGCCTCTTCAGAACAAGTGATCACAGATTTTCTCCAAGGTTGGCCCTGTCCCCTTATCAGAAAGGAGCCACGTGAGCCTTAGATTGTGCTTCACTCGGTTCTTTCATAAAGATTTACAATGACCTTCCCGCCGTGACTGAAAACAGATTCCATTCTCTGGCTACGCACTCTTCTTCTTCCTTCCAGGTACTAAGAGCAGCACCACTCAAACACACATTGCAGCCAAGTTTCCCGTTGTCACAGGCAAACCAAGGTTGGCCTCTCTGTTTCCACCCTCACATCTAAACTGTCTGCCCAGCTTGAAACACTGTCACAACGACCAGGCTGAGGCTGTGCTGGAAAACAAACGTGGTGCACTACAAGACACTGACTGGTGCAGGGAGCCACATGCTGTTAGACGACATCTGGGGCCAGATCCTCAGCTGGCATAAATTGGCATAGTTCAGTTGAAGTTAACAGAACTCTGCTGATTTACACCAGCCAAGGAGCTGGAGGTTCCTTTCCTGATTTTCCCAGGTTCCCCCGGGAGGGGCTGCATCTCTGGACCCCTGCTGGCCTTTTCAAGGTTATTAAAGGGTTTGATAATGATCGGTCATGGTTTTCTCTTTCCCTGCTATGTAGACTCACAAACATCTCAGGCCACAAGAAGCAAGAGTCACTGGCAGCTCATGCACAGCATGTGCTAATCATCACACTATTGACTAGGAGTTGCTGGAGCTGGTTATATTTTCCCTAGAGATGCTGTACACTTGCAGTCCTTAAGGAAGGTTACAAATGTAAAGCCTACAGGACAGAGCACAGTGTGAGTGACTCTGCCTCTAGCACTAGTCACCTTGCCCTGAAACTAACCCTTTCCCCCCCATGGCATTATAGTATACGAGAATACTTAGCCTCTGTGCAGTGCTTTGCACTTCAACAGCTCAGTGCAACCACTAACTCATCCTCAGAACACTCTAGTGATGTGAGAAAATATTACTGTCACCCCAGCTGAGATGAAAATGTGCAGTGACTCCCCCAAGGCCAGATGACAGTCAGTGGCAGAGAGCTAGTATTCAGAAGCCTCTATCTCCCAACTTGTGTTCAGTACTCCCCACCCCATTGCTTCCTCTCCTCACTACCACACATGCTACAGGCCACTTAAAGCCAAGCCTCTAAGGTCAATTATATCCTCAGTTACACCTGTACAACCTGATTGTCTTCAGATTGTGTCCCCAGCAACACCTGCTTAGCCCCTTGCTTCCAAGGGTTTTTCTTGCACCCATGGAAAGTGGTAAGGAATTCTCTTGATGATACACAAGCAGGAAGAGAATCCAGCTCACTCCTCTCTTAGCTTTGTCAGCTGTGCAGGGCTAACTGAAGGAAGAAGCAGCCATAACTAAAGCCAGCAGGCATGAATGAAATACACAGAGAAAGCCGATCTGCTGACCTTTCTTACACAAACAGTTTCGGAGGAGAAGTGAACTTTAAGCAGCGTGACTAATCATTTGAAAATGCATGCACAAAGGTGAACCTTAATACACTTCTGCCTGCTTGAACAATCTGTAACTCCTGCCTGCATCCCTTATCCCTGCTTTCTCTTCTCCAGGTCAGCCAACAAGTAACCAGAAGCAAAGCCAGGAAAATTTAAATAGATCCTTTCCCTCCCGCTCTGCTTCCGTCCTATGTAGTTTAATTGGATCCCATGTGTTCAGATAGCACCTCAGTGCAATCAGCTCCTCAATCTCTCCTCCTGATCCTTTTTTCCTGCAGTTCAATCACAGTCTCTTCCTGTCTCTCAGATGTGGCTTCCTGTCACCTTGCTTATACTTCCTGCCATATCCCTGAAATACTTCTCAGCTAGAATTTTCTCTGGAGCTGCAGTTTGGATGTATGATTTGTTTTTCATTTTCTGCCCTAACTTAGCGTGTCGTGTTGCTGGGTGCTCTTAAACAGCTTCTCTCTTCCACTTCCTGTGGCGGCTGCTTTCCAGAAGTAGTTAGGGGTAAACTTTTTGTGTAGTCTGCAAAGTCCTTGGGGATGAAAGACTCTTTACCTTGGTAAGATTTCTTATTCTTTCTGTACTTAACAGTAAAGCGGGACCTCTCTAAGCTATAATATGGCGTGAAATCCTGGGCACCTGCTCTTCCCAACTGGAACTGGTTCCACTTCTCATTTAAGAGCTTCCCCCCATTACTTAAAGCAGGAGGATGCAGGTTCTGACCCATGAGACCTTGGTTATGGGCACGTTTCCTGCATTCCCAGAGTGTGGGTTAGGACACTAGGTACGTGTGTATGATGATGCTACTGCCCTCTCCTTTTTCATTCTCTCCCTCTCGCCGCAGGATGAAACTGAGCTAAGGGAAAAGACCTCCGGGAAGTCAGATGAGACGAAGCCCTTAGTCCCGGTGAGTTACAATCCTCCTGTCCAGTGCTGCAGCAGCTCTTACATTCAAGCTATTGTGTGAGCTCACCACTGCCCAACGTGACATCAAATTGCAGATCCACACCACAGTCTGACTGCCTCTCCCTCCCTGTTCAACTAGTGCTGAGAAAGTCCCCAGGGCATCCTCTCCAGCCCACTGGGAGACAGTCCCCATCCTAATATCCCTGCTCTGATTTTGTGGACAGAGAGTAACCAGTACTCCCAGCAACAATGGGAGTCTCCCCACAAGCCCTCACCCTTTTCCCGCTGGGAAGGAATCCTAGGGGCCCTGCAGACTGGCCTGAGGAGATAGAGTCCGGCCTCTGCTCACACGGAGGAAGCTGTAAGAATATCCCTTGCAATGTCACCTCTAGCTGATTTTATTGGGCTGTTTCCTTTGGCCAGAACCAGATGAAGTGGGACTTCATCCTAGTATGTGACAAACACAAGCCTGGCAGCAAGAAGGATAAGAGGGAGGAATTCTTGGACAAGTTGAAAAACAAAGGATTTACCATCGAGGTGAGATTAACTAGGGGAGGGCAGGTCCCTGGATACATAGGATCACTGACTGAGCTGGATGACTCCGCCCTTAGTGCTCTGAGCGATTGTGTCACAGAACCTGGAAAAGTTCTATTAGCTCATCCAGTCCACCCCAGCCAGTGCAGGATTGTTCCTTACAGCATATTCTCCTGTACTGTGGTCAGTCTAGTTGTCAAAGACCCAAGCACTGGGGCTTCCATTGCTTCCCTTGGGGAGATATTTCTGCAGACGGATCTTGTTGTGAGGAAACTCGTGAATATTGAGCCCACGGTATGTTTTTCCCTTTTCTTATTTTCATCCCATTACTCTTGGCTTAGCTGCTCCTGGGCTGTCCATGTAACCTTCGTAGAGCTTATGCCACTTCCCAGTGCTACAATGCAGCTGTGAGGTAGCACACACAGAGGGATTTGGGGGAGTTGGCTCTGTGAGCTCAGGGGAAATAGCAGGCATGAAAGACTCACAAAAGCTTCCCCTCCCCTCTTGCCCTTGGGCCGGCCAGGTCATGGTTCCTCCCCCAGCCCCTTTTTTAAGAAATCAGAGGAAATTCCATCCTGATATCACAGTCCAAGATCCTGACTGTTTGTGTCACAAAATATAATCAGCCTGTTCAGAGCAGCAGGTGCAGATGTTAGGCACCACCTAAAATGATTTCCAGACAGATGTTGTGCAACTTTAGTGTGATCACCTGTCCCTGGAAGCCTAGGCAGCTACCCCCCCACCCCCCGGAAGCTGAGTCACCTTCTGGGTTTATAGCTTTACAGATGGCAGGCCAGAGCTTCAGCTGATGTAAGTCACCACAGTTCCGCTGTAATCAACACAGTTGCATTGACTTACACCAGCTGAGGATATGGCCTGTAGTCAGGCAGTTCCAGGGTTCCTCCCCATCCACACCATGGGACACCACTAGATGTCTCCTCCTAGGAGTGACAATCCAGGGTTCCTTCTCCACTGCTTTAAGGTGCTTGGGTGCTCATTCCCATCAAACGTACCTGGGACTTAGTTCTCTACACAAAGCAAGACCTTGCTTTTGTCCTCTTTAGTGCATGAGCCCATTCTCCACCTCCTCCATACCAGGAGGGCTAGTTCAGACCCATTCCAGGAGCAGCAACGGTTGAGGGCATAAGGAAGGCCAATAACAGCTGTAAAGAATTCTGTACCTGGTTTTCTCAGCCACTTGTAGCTTCCCTGCTCATTCAAGACTGAGCTTTCCCTTCAGCGAATTCTAATGCTACTGGAGGGACCACCTTCTCCAGGGACGAGGGCAATCTAGCCTCCTTGATCATTCAGTCCTGGGCTTTCCCCCTGCCCCCAAACCTTTTTCACCAGTGGACCCTCTGACCCTGTTCTGGATGGACCCCTCTCTCCTGGAGTGAGAAGAGTTACTGATGAGGTGTGTTTATATGGGAGGTCAGACTAGATGATTTAGTGGTCCCCACTGGCCTTAAAATCTATTTTTCCAAGCGACACAGATCTCTTCCTCCCCTCAGAGGCAACATCAACCCTTTCCTGGCTGTATTACTTCTTTGTCTGGCCCTATCAAGATACCAAGTCCCTTTGTCTACACCAGCGGCTCTCAAACTGTGGACTTTCTGGGGCCCAGGGCTGAAGCTGAAGCCCAAGCCCCACTGCCCAGGCCAAAGCTGACTGCCTAGGGCTGAAGCCCTTGGGCTCAGAGTTCAGTCCCCCTCTACTGGGGTCACTTAGTAATTTTTGTTGTTAGAAGGGGGTCGTGGTGCAATGAAGTTTGAGAACCCCTTAAAATGCTACAGCTGCACCGCTGTAGCGCTTCAGTGCAGACACGCTACGGCGATGGGAGGGGTCTCCCATCATGCCAGTTCATCCACCTCCCCGAGAGGCTGTAGCTAGGTTGATGGAAGAATTCTTGCATTGACCTGGTGCTGTCTACACCGGGGTTAGGTTGGTATAACCACGTCCCTCAGGAGTGTAGATTTTTCACACCTCTGAAAGACGTAGCAATACTGATGTAACTTTTCCGTGTAGCCCAGGCCTAAGGAAATACTGGTGATGAGAACGGGGCAGGAAGCACTCTGGGAAGGAGAGAGAGGGTGTTGAAGAGGGGCTGGCATGTGGAGAGTACAAGCATTTTTAGCTGATGAGGAGGAGAGAACCTTCTCGCCCAGGGGAAGGGAAGTGTGGTAGGAGGAGAGCAGCGGGAGAGAAAGAGGACCAAAGTGGGGGAGAAGAGTTAATGGAGCAGAATGACAGGGCCCTGACGAGGATGAGACTTTCCGCACCATTCTCTGGACGTGGCTGCTCCGCTGCCTCTTGGTTCTCCATTTCGCAATGGTTTGCTCTGCAGCTGAGCGTTCTCTAGAGCTCCCACTGTCCTGTCTCCAGAGCAGCTCTTTGCCAACGTTCCAATCCTGCTGGATACTTCCCAGGGCTTGCTTCATCTGCATGTCTCGCTAATCTCCCTTCTCTCTGATCCTACACCCAGAAAATCAAGGACAAGAAACTATTCTATGGGGTCCATGCCCCGAGTGAAATCTTCCAAAAATACCAATATCTGCTGAAGAACTCAGACAGCGGGTTGCAGAATCACCACACGGAAGAGGTGACCATCACCACCAGGTGAGCGTTTCCTTGATCTCAAAGACATCAGGGTGCAGGGTACTTCATGCTAATGCCCGTGATGGATCGTGCACCCTATGGTGAGACGTGCCTGTTAGCTGGATCACAGGCCCCCTTCCCTGGTTCCCCATGGGGAATTACTTTGCCGTGCTTTGTATCCTTACCAGAAAACCATTTAAAATCAGAGAGTGATGCTGAGCTCCTGTCCTCGCGCATCTTGTCCCTCGGGCCTGGTTCTCCACCAATTCCCCACAACTGAACCTTATCCCCATTCCCTCTTCCTGCCCTGCTCCTTGCTCCCCTACCTGTTCAGATCTCTTAACGCATTCCTTAATCTCTGGATCCTGGATATAGCTTTTATCTCCCATTGCCCTGGTAATCCCGAGCCATTATTCTGGCCCCTACTCACCCTTCAGTGTTTAATTCTTCCTAATCCCTGATTGTTTGGGGTTTCAGGCTACGTATCGTCAACTTTATCCTGCAGAACACAGAGATTTCTTCTGAGGGTAAGGAAACGCTTCCTCCGTTCTAGCTCACTCTTGCCGTTCCCATGTCACAGTCACAAATACACATCCCAAGCAGAGGCAGATTTACGATGAAACACACACTGCCCTGGCACGGGGCCCCCCAACTACAGGGGGCCCCAGGGCCGGGCTGCCCAGCACCATCCAGCACTCCCTGCGGGGGGACCGCTGCGGAGGCAGAAGCTGTGGGGGAGAGCAGGGAGGGAGCCGTTTAAGAGCCGTGCTGGAGGCGCAGCGTGCGGTGCGTTCTCCCAGCTGGTGAGCCGGGCTCCTGCTGCCTCCCAGGGCTCCTGCTGCTGGCTGGCGCTGGCAGCCCCGTGCGCCTCAGCAGGCGGCCAGGTGAGGCAGGCAGGTGAGGGGCCGGCTGGGGGCGCTGTAGGGCAGGCGTGTGTGCTCCCCTGGTGGGGCGTCCGCCCGTGCCTGTCCAGCTGCCCTGCTCCTGTGGACGCCGGGCAGCGCAGGTGCAGTCCCTGGCTGCACTGCTGCTGGCGGCCCCTGGAAAAAGGCCAGGGGAAGGGAGCGGCAGGCCAGGGGGATCTCAGCTCTCACGTGCTGCTGCTGCCACAGCTCCCTTTGGCAGCGAACAGGAGCAGCGGCGGGGCAGCGACCCAGGTAAGGTAGCCCAGCGGCCGCAACTGGGACTGCCCCAGCCCTGAGCGCCCCCCACCACCCGCGCACTGCCCCCTATACGCACACACCCCAGCCCCTGCCCTTACTCCTGCACCCCCACACACACAC